TAGGATATCCTCATGGCTTGACTGTCCAACGCCTCGTGGAACTACGACGTACATATTTTCCAGAGGTTTTATTTCTTATGGAAACTATGCATCCTAGATTCTAGTAGATTTGCAAGTTTGGTTAGGATAGGATCATGTCTGCACTGTAGAACTTGTTAACTCTTGGGGGGCGGGGGGGGGGGGGGTTTGGCTCTTTTTTGGAAGGACAGTGTAGCACTTAACTTTTTGTATCAAGACAAGAATGTACTGGATGTAAAAGCTAGCTATCAAGACAAATGTTTCTACTTTTCTTGCGTGTACGGAAATCCAAATTACAAGCTAAGACACATAGTTTGGGAAAGACTTTCTCGCTTTAGCTTAAACAGGAAAGGAAGTTGGTGTATGTTTGGAGATTTCAATGAGATTCTTAACAACTCTGAGAACATAGGGGGCCTAGAAGGAGTGATTCTTCTTTCATAAATTTCACAAACATGTTGGATATTTGTGGAATGACTGAGCTTCCTAGTGTAGGTGATGGATTTACTTGGAGTGGAAAAAGATGCAAGAAATGGATACATAGTAGACTAGACAGAGCCTTCGGCAACAAAGAATGGTTCGATCTTTTCCCTGCCACAAACCAAGCCTTTCTAGAAAAGAGAGGTTCGGACCATAGACCAGTTTTGATCAAACTTATCTCCTCTCAAGATTCTTATAGAGGATCATTTCGCTTTGACAAAAGGATGTTTCTTAAACCTCAAGTTCTTGAAACAATTATTGAAGCTTGGAATCCCTCCAACACAAGTACTCACCTTAATGTTGCTTCAAGAATCAGATCTTGTCGGAAAGCACTAAGTAGATGGAAAAAAGACAATCAATCAAACTCCCAGCAAAGAATCATTCAAATTCAAACAGCCTTGGAACATGAGCAATCTCTGCTCTCACCCTCTTCAGTAAGATCAGTGAACTTACTAAATCCTTGTTATTAGCATATAAAGACGAATAAAAATTTTGGAAGCAAAAGTGCAAGGATGACTGGATCATCCATGGGGATGGAAACACCAAAATCGTTCACACTGCAGTCAAGATAGCTCGTTCGGGAAATAAAATCTCCAAACTAAAAGACTCCCAAGGAAACACCAAGCAGTCCGAAGCATCTAAAGCTCAAGTGGCCATTCAATATTTTAGTGAACTCTTTCGGTCCTCTAACTCAGTGGACTACCCTAACCTTCTTCATGACATCCCAACAAGAGTTACAAGGGACATTAACTCTGTCCTTACTAGACTAGTTACTAATGAAGAGGTCAAGGAGGCAGTTTTCTCTACCAAACCGGAAAGTGCTCCTGGAGCCGATGGTATGTCTGCATTTTTCTTCCAAAACTATTGGGAGATCGTTGGTGATCAGCTCACCAAAGAAGTTCTGCAATTTTCCAACTGGAGTCATGCCCAAGGAATGGAACTACACACAAATCTGTCTTATTCCAAAGAAGCCTAACGATGTTATTATGCCCGACCTAAGACCCATAAGCCTTTGCACGGTCATGTAAAAAACGATATCAAAGATTATAGCTTCAAGACTCCATGCTTTTCTCCCTAACATAGTATCTCCAACACAATCAGCCTTTGTCTCTGATCGTCTCATTTCAGACAACATAATCCTGGCTCACGAAGCTGTACACAGTCTTAGATCGCATGAAGCTATCTCCAAATCCTTCATGGCTGTCAAGACTGACATGTCAAAGGCCTTTGACAGAGTTGAATGGAATTATCTTCATGCTCTGCTCTTATCATTAGGCTTCGATACTATTTTTGTTAATTGGATTATGGCTTGTGTGTCTACGGTTAGCTACTCTATCCTCCTCAATGGCCAATCCTATGGAGTTATCACCCCGGAAAGAGGATTACGATAGGGAGACCCTCTATCCCCCTTTCTTTTTGTGCTCGGTACTGAAGGTCTAACTCACATGCTCAACCAGGCAATTTCTGCCACCTCATTGACGGGAATTCAGTTTGATAATCTAGGCCCCCAGCTTCATCACTTAATTTTTGCAAACGACAGTCTGTTTCTCTTCAAGGCTGATATTGCTCAATGCCAAGTCTTTCAACAGATCATGCAGAGATATAGTGAAGCAACGGGAAAAGTAATCAACCTTTCCAAATCGTCCCTCACTTTTGGCAAAAAAGTAGATATCGACAAAAGACTTCAGATACAAGAAACACTAGGTATTACCTCTGAAGGTGGATCTGGAACATACCTACGCTTACCGGAATTCTTTAGTGGGTCTAAAGTAGAAATGCTATCGTATATTAAGGATAAAATGAAAGGCAGAATGTCAAATTGGTACACAAAGTTTCTATCCCAAGCCGGGAAAGAAATTGTTATCAAGTCCATTGCGATGGCCATGCCTATTCATGCAATGACCTGCTTCAAGCTACCCAAAACCACTTGCAGTAACCTCTCTTCTGCAATGGCTTCTTTCTGGTGCTCTGCAAGTGAAGACAAAAGCAAAGTACACTGTATTAGCTGGGATAAGCTGTGTGTTCCCAAAGACCTAGGCGGTATGGGATTCAAGGACATAGCCATTTTTAATCAAGCTCTCCTTGCTAAACAAGCATGGAGAATCCTATCAAATGAAAACTCCTTTCTTTCTCGCTTTTTGAAAAGCAGATACTTCCCAAGCGGAACTTTTCTACAAGCATCATCTGGAAATAGACCCTCCTATGCTTGGAGAAGCATTATCCATTGAAGGTCACTATTAATCAAAGGTCTAAGGCCTATGATAGGTAATGGACTCTCAACTTCGGTTTGGACATCACTGTGGCTTACTGATGGAGACAAAATGCGCATCCTTCTCATTAAGCAATTCCTAATGGACCTAGATCTCAAAGTCTCAGACCTCATCAATCCCTCCTCTCTTACTTGGGATTTAAGGAAGCTTCACCAAACCTTCTTCAAACAGGATATAGATCTGATCCTGAAGATTAAACCAGTTTTATCCTCTCAGGACTTCGTCTGTTGGAACCACACTAGATCAGGAGAGTACACAGTCAAGTCAGGTTATTGGTTTGCTGAACGACTTGAAAACAAGGAAGCCTTCCTATCAGCTCAGCTCCTCCCCTCCACTAATGACATCAAAAAAAGGATCTGGACTTCTAAAACAGAGCCAAAAATCAAGATTTTTCTTTGGAAAGCAGTTAGTGGAGCACTTTCAGTAGCTGACAACTTAAATGCAAGAGGAATGAGGATTGATGACCGCTGTCAAATATGTGGTTTGGATGGTGAATCAATTAACCATGTCCTCTTTACTTGTACTGTGGCTAGACAAACATGGGCTCAATGCAACTTTTCTTTCCCTCCAAATGGCTTTGATCATTCCTCCATTTTCTCCAACATTTTCTACGTGCTCAAAATGGGGAATGATCAAAACATCCCACTACACATAAGGAGATCTGGCCCCTGGATCTTGTGGTCTATATGGAAAAATAGAAACAGCCTTCTTTTCAATGGCAAAATATCTATAGGCCAGACGTTCGCAAGATCAATCCTCGATGAAGCTAATCATTGGTTCTTAATCAAAGAATTGGATTTTCAGCAAAAAGCGATTGACCTTGAGGGGAAAAAAGGATTATCTTTGGTTGGAAACCACCACCTCCTTCATGGTTAAATGTGATATAAATAGCGCATGGGGGGAAAACAAAGAAGAAGCAGGAGCTGCATGGATTCTTAGGGATTCGAAAGGAAAAGTGTTACTACATGGAAGGAGATCTTTCACAAACATTAAAACCAAAACTGACTCAGCCATTGAAGCATGGCTATGGGCAACGGAGAGTATGAAATCTCTACACTTCGAAAACATTATCTTCTCCAGCATAAACTCTGAGTTAGTGGCGGCAATCAAGAAGCCAAAGGCATGGCCAGCCCTTAAATATGCCTCCTCCAAGCTAATCCCACGCCTACAAGAATTCAACTCTTGGAAGGTCGAACATCAGCACCAAAAAGCTCTTACTTCAAGTTTTCTGATAGCCAAAAGTGCAACAGATGAAAACCGCTTCCAATCCTATGTTGCATCAAGTTATCCACTTTGGTTAAAAAGACACTTTCTATAATGTCTTTAACTTTTGTATCCCTTTAGACCTTGCTCAAGGTTCATGGGCTTATAAGAAAATTTAATTACGTTTTTAAAAAATATATATATTTTTTAAATAATAGCTTTGATAAAAAATAATAGTTTAAGAGTGGTTTTAATGAAGTTTTTATAAAACTTAAATATCATAGTTTTACTTTTAGAAGGAACTCTAGAGTGGTCTAATTAAACTCATAGTAAATTTTACAAGGTGCAGTACAGTGAGTGCATCATCTTCTGATGATAATAAGGAAGATGGATCATCGTCTGATGACTTTGATATCATTTTCTTATGATTTTACTATAAGGGTCAATCATCTTATTGATGATTTTATAGGATATTATTCCCCAAAAAAATCATATTCATCTTATTGATGATTTTATAGGATATTATTCCCCAAAAAAATCATATTTCTGATGAAAGAACGAGACCAGGAATCATCTGCTGATGATAATATTATAAAGAGACTATAGTTTTGATAATTAACACAATATGTGTGCAGTCTCCACTAACATTTTTCAATTTCGTTTTTGTTACGTTGAATAAGACTTGCATATTAGTATAAGTATTTTAATATTCTTTGGCCTTGTTTATTTCCGTGGCATTGATTTTCGATCTGAACTCTGATTTTCGTTAATTATGTAAGAGTTTCAGTGAACAATTATTAACACTTACAAGCACAACTAAGAACATTTGTAAGCACGTACTTTACGTCAAAAAACTTTATATGGAGAAGAGAGGCTTTTAATATGCAAATACAAAGGATTTAACTTGCAAGTGTTAGAAGTAGTTTTCGTTCCCAAATTAAAAGATTTCGCTAGTCTTTGAGAGAACTAAGACATCAAGTTGAACTTGATTAGAAATGGACGAGAGGACATGATTAACTTATAAATATATTGAAGCAAACACCAACTGAATCAGCACCAAGAATATTAACAGTTCATAGAGAGAAAAAAGATGATTCTTTTGTTTTTCCGAAAATAATAGAGATTCTAGTAGTGTCTCAAAGGTGGCAAAATGAGGAGTTTTCATTCACCCGATGACATTTAAAGACAATCACAACGACACAAAAACCACAAAAGATTTAAAAGTTTGTCATCAGATTTGGTGTTTCCCTTCGAAGGTTTCTAAACAATTGGAGGATACTGCTTGGACTGCAGCTTAACCCTTTTCTTGTACTCAACTACATCCTGCATATTATTCATCCAAATTGAATCCCATCAGAATAAAGTTCGCAATCAAATTGGTTTCTATGTTTCACTAACTATATGCATAATGAGAGAGTACCTGAATGAAGAGATGATAACCATCAGTCTGTGCAGGGTCAGCGGGATTAGGTGTGTCAAGTAAATCTTGAATACCGACAAGAATCTGCTTCACTGTGATGGCTGGTCTCCAACCCTATCAACATAACCATATCAACAGAGAACTTAGGATGATGATTTGGTCATGGAGAAATGAAAAGAAAAGAGCACTTACTGAATCTTCGTTAAGGATGGAAAGACAGACTGTCCCTGACGGATAGACATTAGGGTGGAAAAAGCCTGGTGGGAATTTGCATTTGGGAGGCTTGCTCGGATAGTCCTCGCTGAAGTGCATCGTTAAGGGAAAGAATCCACCTTCCCAATCAGTCTGCAGTGTCAAGTACATTCACTATGAAAAGATGGTACAAGAATGACAGTAGCAGTTACTATTATTAACCATGTTGCAGATACACAGAAAACCAATTATACCTCAAATCAAGAACGTTAAATAGACAACAAAGTTCAGATTGCCAAAATTTATAAGCACGAAATCCAGGACATCACAAGTAAAGATAAACAGTGAGGTTAGAGCTACAACCATTCACAAAGAATTCACTTTCACAATCAGTCTGCAGTGTCTTGTTAACTTAGCTATGTTACAATACTAAAAGAATGATTAAGTCGAAAAGCTAAGTAAGATGCACATCAGAGCTCAAATTCTATGACATCTTCAAGAACACATTTTTTACACACCAGTTCAGAACATCAAGAGACAAGAGAAAAGAAAAAACAACACTTTCTCCTGATTAGCATTTACAAAAACATAAACTTCCATTCTTAAATGTTATAAGCAAATGAATAAAGAATTTAAGAGAAACAAACATGAATCAAACAGAAAAAAAGAGAAGAGCTTAGCAGAATTCAGTTCCAAAAGCTAAGCAGAATGATAAGCACTGAACCAGTTCCAAAAGCTAAGCAGAGTTCAAAATTTAGGACATCTTTCACGAAGACATTTTTAAACACTAGTTTAGAACATCAAAAGTAAAGATAAACAATTCTTTCTCCTAACCATATACACACAAACAAACAAACAAACAAACAAAAAAAACAATCTTTCAATTTTTCTAAGCTAAAGCAAAAGAATAAACCACATAGAAGAAACAAACAACAATTACATAGAAGAAAGGGAAGACCTTTAAACAGTACAAAAACACAGAACCCTAATTTCACCAATTGCTTATATTGTTTCTACTACTAATCAGATAATGATTAGCCCTAATTTCATGTTAGTCATAGCTGTTTTGTACACTTACACCGGCTTTACCAGGAATAGTGCAATGCCACACCATTAGATTCACAGCTCCATCAGGCCCAGTCTCCGGTTTCGCCACAAAACCCTAATTTCAACATCAACAAACACAATCAGAGAACCATAAACACATGCCCAGTGATCAAAATCTGAAATTGGAGAAGAAAAATACGAACATGAGGATGATTCTTCCTCCACGATTTCCTCTCTTCGGCCAAACGTCCACGAGCGATTCCACTAGCCATCTCTCTGCTTCTCTCTCAACAATCTCTGCTTTTCTCTCTCTAAAGCTCGCCAATCAATCTCGCTCTCTATCTCGCTCTATATAAGTCGAAGAAGACGAAGAGGTGAAAGTTACAGATTTGCCCCTTTGGTAGACGGAGAATCGTACGGTCCAGATTTCGCGGCGAATAAATGTCCTTTCGTCCTACTTGCTTTTGCTTCTTTAATTTAATTGACCGGTCAATTATTAATAAAAAATGAAGAAAAGCTTAAAAGAAAAAGTCAATGGATAGCGTGAAACCTACGCGATGAAAATCCAATAAAGCTACCAAAAGATTCTCTTCCCCTACCGTAACCTATCCCATCTTTCACGTGGCCCATAAATTCTACTTAGGGCCCATTAACTTCTTGTGTTCTTCATCACCTCCGTTCAATTTTTCTCCCTAGTATTGATGGTGGTGGGTGCAGAATAAAGCATCTCAATATCAATTTGGTTGGTTTAAACAGCACAATAAATGGTATCTAATCAAAATTTATTTGTCAAATGAAATAGTAGGTAGAAAAATAATTTAAGCTTATTTTCTGAATCATCACCAAACCGTCTTGTATAAAAATGATTTACCAACTGCTGCAGTAAAATACCAAACTTGTTGTACTTGTATAGTGAGTGACCCATACAATATCATTTTGCTGTTAGATGTGGTTGTGTTTTATCATTCTGTTAGTATACATAGCTAGCATAGTAACCTATATTCCCCATCCCACTGGTCTATTTGCTGCAAGTTGAGATGAATCCAATAACACTTGCATCTAATTTTTTATGTACAGTTTTACATGACTTTGGTCTACTTGGGAGTTCTTGTAATAACTTTGATCTACGTAAGAGTTCTTGTAAAAACCAGAGAACAGAAACTGATTGATTAAAAACTAACTAACCAGAACAAAGAACATCAAAATCACACAGATACTGATTTACTACAATCAAACAAACGTCTTGATAATGTTATAAACGAAATTAAAAAACATGATAATAACCACCAAGAAAAGATTCACGACATGACACTTGAACAAAACAAATTAACATCTCTGGAGGAAGTTACTTCAAGATGGGAAGGAGGAACCGAGAGAGAGAGAGATGGCAGTTTTCTCTTTGAGCTCAGAGCATGCAATCAGTTCTTGCAGGAAGCCTCCTGAAGAAATTGAGAGGAACTGAAGGTAGCCTGTACCTAAACCTCGGATGTCTTAGAACATAGATCCCAACCAAAAGCGCCACAACCTGAAACGGAGTCACATAGAGAACAACTGCAGCAATCAAACAGAACAAGACAAATAGTGCAGTTGCACGCGGATCACGCCAGCTCAGCAGAGACTGAAGCCTCTCTCCTTGAGTTGCAAGATCACCAACCACTGTCTGAATCCTTCCAGCGATACTCCTCAACCTATCATACCTCATCCTGACGATATCAGATGGTCTTGAAGTAGGGAAAGTATCAAACTCTTCATCAAGCTCGTCAGGGTGAGCTGAGTCAGCGTGGGAGAGACGTGTGTCCATGTGTGGAGGATGCCTCGGTCTCCAACGGTAGTACCAAACACCAATAAGGAAGAGGTAGAGGAAGATGGTTGGCAAGATAAGCTCAGGGTAGAGGACAAGGATGATGAACAGGAGATGGATCAAGACCGTTGTGATTGGATTCTTCCAGTTACAGATCTGTTCAAACCACTTCCCCACTGCTATTAACCCGCTCAAAACTCCCATGATCCTGAAAAAGTTGGCTTTGCTTCTCCTCATACTCCACATGTGAGAGCCCACATCAAGCATGTACTCAACTACTTCTTTCCTTAGAGGTGGCTCTGCTCTTGTAAGCCTCATTGACACAATCTGAGTCGCTTGGTGCCTCAAGTTATCAAGCTGGCTAACCGTTAAAGGATGGATGTAATGCATCTTTGGTAGCAGAGGGAGTGAGTACATATGCATCATGTTGAGCAAGGAAGAGCAAGTGAACCTCACAGCTAAATGAATCTCTCCCATTTTCTTGACTCCGTTAGGATGAAGCACCAAAAGAGGGTATGAATGTGTGTAGACACGATCAGTCTCTAGAGTAGAGAGACGGATCCTAACCTTGCCAATTCTTGAATCTTTTCCTCCTCCGTTCTTCTCACCTCCATGGAGATGACAGTTATCAAAAACTCCAACGGTAACAACAGTACACGGATCAAACACCTCCCAAGTGTATTGCTCATTCCATCTTGGAGTAAAGCTGTCGATGATAGTCCGAGTTCGAATCCATTTCTGTCCGTACTTAGCCACACAGTACGCATCTGTAGTTCCACGACCGTCTTTAGCTTTCATAGGCATCAGACCAGTGGCATTTAGTATCCCAAGCTCCAACACACCGATGTTAGGCTTCCAAAGCTGCTTAGCCGTTGGTCTAAGGTCACTACTGTAATGTGTAGACTCATCAAGAACATGATACCCTCCTTCCAAACATATCCTCATGTGAATCTTGCTAGCGAATTTGATTTCTTTCTTCTCTCCATCGACCATAATATGCTTCTCGAGGTTAAACCACTTGGTGTTCACCGGCCTGTGATCAAACCTTCTGTCCAGATACTGCAACGGGATCGCACATCTCCCCAGGACTTCGTCTTTGTTCGGAGCAACTCTGTCTTCAACGCTTAGAATCAAAGGCTCCTCAAAGGGCTCAGCTGCTACAAACATCAAATCTTCATTCCACATTGGGTTAATAGTCCTGCTTTGTGAGACTCTTGTCCTCAAGGCCTGGTTCCCCACTATAGCCTTCACGTAAACCTCAGGGTACCTCCCTTTATCACTCGGAATCAGATCTTGAGCTTCGATTACATTAACTCTCAAGTACCATAGCTTAGGAGAGAGGTAGACCTTCGAACGGATGTTGGCAAGAGCATCAGTTCCACTAACTGTTGCAGCATCTGAATGCCAAGCTTCAGGGAAGGCTTCATCAGCTTGAGTACCAAACCAAACAGCTAACATAAGCTCCCCTTTAACTTTTTCTCCTTTCCTATCTTCAAGCCTATACCACTGAGGCGCTAAAGGACTGTCTGGAGGAACTCTCTTAGGCACCTCGTTCAAGTCAAACACAACACGACCAATCAAATCATCTTTCACAACATCCTTGTCTTTAACAGTAGCTTCAAGAAAAGAAGCTTGAATCCTGTCTTTAGAGAAAGCAAAGACTTGGTTCCACTCAGGGTTTGACTTCTTCTCGAAATGACGCGTGGTTCCTTTGTAGTTTCCAAGCTTAACCTCGACGTAAGGGTCACAGCTACCAGTCATGTCCTTACCAGGTAACTCCTTGGCCTTGACCACACGAACGTAGAGATACTGCATCTGCTCAACGAGGTCATAAGTGCTGGTGAGCTTGTCCCCAGTGACTTTCCCACCGCCGAGATGAGGTCTCGTCTCCTTTAAGGAGAAATCTTCAGGAGGTGGTCTCTGCATCATGCTTGCTCAAGAACACACACTACACAAAAGAAAAGTAAAGAATCAACATTTCATTAGCTAAAAAAGGTAACAAAGATCATTTACACTTACAGTGATTATGTGTTTCAGCTACTACTACTACTCCACTTCAAAGCACTAGATCTGAGACAAACAACACCATTTTAAGAAAGAGTTAAAAGAATTAAAAAGCTAAAGAGAAGAGTAAAAAGTGAGAGAATAAATGCAGAAAGTAATAACTTTGAATTAAAAAGAATCTCGAATAAAGCATCGTATTTTCTAGATCATAAACAACCTCGTTAGTATCTACGAAGCAGAATCTAACGGCACAAAATCGTGAATCTTTATTCATCGTTTAATACACTTCATCGAAAGAACACAACATCGGAAACACAAAGCCATAAACCACCATTACAGAGCAGGAGTTACGCTGTCTGATGATTTTTTACTTCAAAAAGAAAAACTTTGAAACTCTCAAAATCTCTTCTTTCAATTTTTTGGGCCTCGGTTCTCTGAGAGATACTTAATACAGAAAACGACAAAGCGGAAAAAAATAGAAAATAAATCAACAACTAACAAAGATCTAGAATGCTGAAACTAAATCCATGGGGAAAAAATGCAGAAATAACAGTTGAAATCTAACAATACACACCTTAGATCTGGGGTGCGAAGAAGAGTTACTATAAACGATTTTACGCAGGCGAGGAAATCTCCATCTTGAATAAGCAAAGACTTAGAGTTACAGAGTCTTCGTCCTCGTTTTCTTCAACCAAATAAAAAAAAAAAAAAAAAACAATAAGAGACGACTAGTAAAGGCAAGAGGATAGGCACTACTAGGAAAGGGCAACTTCTAGAGAGAGAAACTTTGAAGAGGAGTGAGAGAAAGAAAAAAGAGAAAGCTTTTGTGGCTCACTTGTTTGTTGTCTTCTTCTTCTTCTCCTCTTTGCTTTTTTTCTACAGTTTTCACTTTTTTTTTACTGACTAGTATTAAAAAAAAAACAGTAGAGGATGGGGTCCATGTAAAATCACGCAAGACATACCTCTTATGTTTTGAATCTCACACGTGTGGAGACGACGGTTTAGCGTAATCTTTCAACGGTGGTCGTGTTTTTTCCCGTAATAAAATATTAGTCGAACTGAAATAATCCTCGTCCCTATCTCTTTATTTTAAAGTTGCAGATTATTTTTAGTGTGTATTTGTATAATGCAAGTTTATCTGATTAAAATATGGCACAAGAATTACTTAGATAAAATAAAACTAGTAGTGTCGATGAAGCCCAAGTCATTGGATTCCTCTATGTTCTGCATCCTCTCGTTTTGATATACATATGCAAAAAGCCGTATGCTTGGACGGTTGGACCCTGACCTTTTTTTGTTGCTAAATAAAAATGTTATTTATGGCCCAATGTTATTTGTTTGTGAACTCGAAATTTATTGGTTCATGGTTATTTGGTGGGTAATTGATGATACAAGAAATTTCTATAAGTTGCATCATTACTTACTTTACCACAAAAAAAAGGTTGCGAGATTACAATTATAATGAAAAACAGTCACGATCAAATGTTTTGTTATCTATGTGATTCTCGTTTTCACAGTTCACCTTAAATGTCTACAATCAT